GGGTTGGCTGCTGTCGGCAGACAGGCTACTGGGCTAGATGGACCTTTGATCTGGCCCAGTATGGCCATTCTAAGCTCAGGGCTCAGGGCTCCAGGGCCGGGAGGGGGGCAGAAGAGTTTCCCTGGTGGTGCCCAGAGTGGCCACCAGTGAAAGCTGGGGAGGGCTAGCCTCCCACTAGTTCAAATTAAGTGGCTACACAGCCCTTAATTCGAACTAGTTAATTCGAAATAGGCGTTAGTCCTCGTAGAATGAGGTTTACCTAGTTCAAATTAAGCGCACCGCTAGTTCGAATTAAGTTCGAACTAGCGGTTTGCATGTGTAGCACCTATCAAAGTTAATTCGAACTAACGTCTGTTAGTTCGAATTAACTTTGTAGTGTAGACATACCCAGAGTTATTTCCAATCTGACCAGAACAAAGAAGTAATTGAAAGTTCATGAGGAGAAGAAAAAAGGGATGGGGAAATTAGTAGTCCTTCTACTTCAGTGTTTTCCTGACTGAAGACATCAACTTCCTCTCTGCAGAAGGATTCCAAATTTATGCAAACCAGACTTTGTGATTTTTTTTTACTCTACAAAGGCACTTGAATCACAAAGGCTCCAGAAGATGGAAAGGTACAAGCAAGCTAGTAGCTCTCTCAGTGTCTTGAAAAAGGAACTAAGGAAGACCAGGAGAAGAGAAAACAAATCAGACATGGAGAGCAAACTAGTTATATATTCTAACCTCTCCAGCTCCTCTAGCTTCAAGATCAGCTGCTTGTTCTCCTCCTGGGCAGACTGATACTTCTCTCTTGTCATTTCCATTTTGTCACCCTGGAGCTCAATCTAAAATGATAGAAAACAGACCTTACACAGGAAGTCAGTATAAACCCAAGATCAGCCACCTAAAATGGGTGCTGTTCTTGGATGATGATGAGGAAATCCACAGCTATAACACCTTCACATTCACATTTCAGGAAAGCCTTAAAGAGGGAAATGGTATGTGGAAGCAGCAAAAGCTAAATGTCCAATTTGTGTACTTTCTCCAGGTAATGTTTAGACTCATTGTGAAATAGAATTTTTTCCACACCACACATGGGCGGTCAGGTGCCATAAGAGCTTGATAGTAGAGCAGCCACCTGCAAGCATAATGGAGCATACCGATTAGAAGAAGCCTTGTGTGTGATAAGGCCAGGAAGAATTCAGAACCTGAAATACTGAGAAAACTAATGACTTGAATGATCCTGTGGCCTATGTGCTTTGCTATGATAATCCCATCCAAGGACCCCCAGTGCCATTACAATTGAAAGGCAGGGAAGAAAATAAAAGCAGAGCAACATTTGGGAGTGGATGGTCAGGAGAGAGAGGCAACCATTAAGTTGATCAGGGTGACAGAAGTGAATGAGACTACATGCATTCTGGATTCTGCTGCTCTTCATGACCCAATAAAATTCTGCAACAAAGCAGTTTCAAAGAAAGGCTTGAAATAGCAAGGAAAGCCACCAGCTAAGTTACTATTCTCCCTAAACAAAGACATGCCACACATCTTTAGTTTGCAGTGCAGATGTTTTAATCATTTCAAAAAGAGACGAGTACAGAGGCAAAGACTGAAGCTTCCTGCAACTAGAAACTCATCTTGGTCCCCGGCTTGAAGATAGTGTAGCTGTGGGTCCTTTCTGCCAGTCCCTTACCCGCTGACGAAGATCTGTAATCATGGCAGAGAGGTCCATGTTCTTTTTTTCATAACTGTGGAGCTGATCCTGGCATTCTGCCAGCTTTGTCTCTGTGATCTTCAGGATTTCGGGCAGCTTTTCTAATTCAGCAAGCTGTCTCTGGAACTGCTTCCGAGCCTTGGGTGGAGTAAAGGGGGAAGGATAAGAGGAATGGAAAGACACAGAATTGTTGGTTAAAAAAATAAACACATGACCTTATTTTAGACATTTTTAAAGTCTGGGCTAATAAATCTGAGTTGGCTGGTACTGTCTGTCCATCAGAGCATCTCTCTCTCTTAGCAATAAGGGCATCTAAGATGCCTGGTCATTAATGAAAATCCTTTTTCCCGTGGAACTGGAGACTTGCTTCTCCAGTATGCTAGCATTTTGGTTCATATGGAAATGTCTCATTGTAATAGACATTCCTTCCTCCATTCAAAGACACATTCACACACATTTTGGGATTCCTCTTGTCTGTGAATTGCTACAAATCCTAGCTCTTGGGTTTGAGTTTTATTATGTATACAGTATTCTTGAGAACTATTCCTTGACAGCCAATGAAAGACAGGATGCACAATTCAGAAGCAATTACTCTGAACAACCCCTACCCAGTAAAGGGCACCCCCTCAAATGGACACTATGTATTTGACAATGACAAGGCCCTTTGCACTTAAATTCTCTCTTGAGCTGAGTTAGGAGAAAAGGCAAACCTGTCTTTTACCCCTTTCAGAGGCCAAACATATTTGTTTTCCATTATGCCAAGAAAGGGGTGCAGCCCTGAGTGACTCCCATGTACCGATTTAACGGTCAAGGTTTTCTTGGAGGAATAATTACCATCTCAATCTCCTTGTTCATTTCATCTTTTAGTGTCTTATTCTCTTTGTCACAAAGCTCCAATTTTACCGTCACCTCATCGGCTTCCATTCGGGTTCTCAATACCTGGACAGAGAAAAAATAGGCACACCACAATGTTAGGATTTTCAAGCTCAGAAAATGTTCTACACACCAGCACAATTACAACTGTTGCAATCCAGTAGCAGGATTCTTGAGAACCTCTGGACACGGCCACCTCAAGTTCTGGAGCTTTTCCATCTTTGTACTTTTAGAACCATGTTACCTTTCGTTGTACCTTCCTCCAAAGATTTCCCTCTTTGTGCTCTCCCACCCTATCACCATTATAAAACCCAGATCTCAGAGGATATGACTAGATTTAGATATTTTACACCTGCATTTGTTTCTTGAGAGGGACTGGATAAGCAACAATGACCAAGATCAATTCTAGATAGTTTATCCATGTAGCAAGATCTTTATGAATGGAGTCAGCTTCTGCTAACAGCATGGATGATCAGAGTATAGAGAGTGAGGCAAATTTTTCACAGTCCAGAATATAGCAGGTGGTAAGAATATAGCAGGCGAACAGAATAACCTGAAAAAATGTTTTACATAAATTGATTTTATTTATTAGGTCATGAAGACAGGAAAAACAAGAAGATAGATGGACCAGAGTATCATCTGATAGCCATACGAGAGAATAAATCACAGCAGCAAGGAAAGAAAACAAATGTGAGAGAGATGAAAAGGGAAGAAAAGTTTTAATAACATACCTGAGATTTATAGGTTTCAATCAACCCTTCATAATTCCTGAGAGATGCCTTGAGTTGCTGTACCTCCATCTGAGCTTGGTTCAGCTTCTCCTCCAGTGGGACCATGGTAGCCTGAATGGAGAAGACATCTTCCATTCAAGAGCAGTAGTTGAAACAGTTGTCCCCATGTATGTTAAGCTAAGTTAAAGCGGGGGATGTGCAAACTAAAGGGTTACATTCTCTGCTAGTATAACTGGGACAGTCTTAATTGACTTCAAAGGAAGTTCACCAATTTATGCCAGCAGAGAATATGGCCCTACAGCCACATGAGAGTTGTTCCATCAAGTTCCAAATACTTTTAAATGATCTGTGTCCATTGGACATGGGTCATGCATGGTTTATTTTGATGGAAGCTTTGTTTAAAACAGATATCAGGTGGACTCCCTACCATACTATATGTGGTTTTATCTGGTGAGGATGTCAGGTATCTTCCTATTTTGGATTTGTGGTTCTCCCTATAGTTTTTATTTTCTGTCTAGCTGTATAACTGAGTGACAATGTATCATCCAGGAGTTCAGGCAAGTAAGCAAGTCTCCAATCCTGAATACTGGATCAGAGGGGAAAAAAAAGGCCTATTCTTCTCCTAACATTGTATATTCCTCTCTTCACAAATTTCAGCCTATCTAACCCGAGGCAAACAGTGGAACACTGAAAATATAGTCAAGTTAACTACATTTAAGTTTTCCAGTGCAACTTGATCTGACATCAAATGGGGTTAAAAGAGATAATTTCTCTCTGTACTGATAGGAATAGCAGCTGTTCACTACAGCTTCTCCCTTATGCTAACATTTCAACTACAAAACATTTAGATATTCAACTGACCTTTAGCCTTTCATTATCCAGTTTGAAAGATGTGGTCTCTGTGGTCTGTCGGTGCAGTTTATCCACTAGAGCATCCCTATCTTCACGCATTTTGTCCTCCATGGAGGTCTGCTGCTCTAACAAGTCTGTAATACGGCTGTTATGAAGGAGGTGAAATTAACCATTAAATAACAGAGAAAAAAAGTCTCTTGTTCTTTGAAATTTAACTTTAATTCTCCCTTTTCCATCCATATCTCATGCATGCGCACACTACTGGTTGGCTACACAAACTTTACTGCCCCATTCCCTTTGGGAAACAGGCACACATGTTACTGGGATGCTGACATTTCATTGCAGTGCCATTGGTATTACAGCTGATGTAAGGCTAATGTAATGGTGCTCTACCTGATGACACAGGGTGGCCACAAACTTAAGCACTTTAAACCTTGTGTGGGCAAAACAGATTCTACATATTTTAATAAGACTTAAAGACATCTGTATTGATTTATATTTTACATTCAGCTTATTTCATAAGTATTTGGATAGAAAACCTACGTACATCATTGTCAACTTACAGACTTGTGTAAATTAAACTGATGTAAACATGTGTGAATGAATCGGCCTTTAGTGTATTGTGTTGAAGCAGACTGCAGGACTTATGAAATGCTCTAATCCAGTTATTCTTAAACCTCTTTGGCACTGTTACCCCTTAAGGTTAACCAATAATCCAAAATTACCCCTCCTCTTTTTTTAAATAGCAATAAACAAAAAGAAAATTACAATTAATCATTTTTATTGTATTTTGTTCTCTCATACATTATGTTGAGCAAAATTGAACACCTATTGTATTTTAAACTTATCCCCTGAAATATGCCAAATTACCTCTGAAGGGATAAATACCCCCAGGTTAAGATCTACTACTCTAGTCCATGACCCATAGGTTGGGCCTTCTTGCTAATATGATACCCCCTTTATGTCCCCAGGCTCAGTTTTCTCTGTGGTAACTGCACTGTGATGACAATTTTTATCCCCCAAACTCCATAAAACTGGATCAGACTCAATGAAACTACTTTGCATTTAAATAGTCTCTTTCATTGTGAGCCATTTTGAGATCCTTCAAAGAAAAGTAAGTATATGTATTTTACAGAATGAGTAGCAAGTGCAGGGATAAGTGACTTCAACAACAAATCACGGTGGCAATCAGGAGCAGAAACCAGCCCTCCTGGCTCTCAGACCCTCTCACCACTAGACCACACTGTCTCTAGCTTTTCAGATCTCTTACCTATTCAGCATAACAATCTCAAGCTCCAGGTCAGTCTTGTCCTTCACCACTTTGTTGTAGCGGCTCCTCCAGGACTCCAAAGTGGACAGTGCCTCAGCAACGTAACTGTCCTGTCAAAAAAATGTGGAATGAGAGAGGCAAGACTGACAAAGATTGCAGGACAACAGTGATGTGCGAAGTGGAACACACTACTGCAGCAATGAATTTCAAACACTCCAGAGATAGTACTGCTTATCAGTAGTCAGGGTTTTTTTTGTATTTTTTTTAAACACATTAATTCTTTCCCACTCCACAGTCTTGTTTAAAAAAAAAAAAAAAACCCACAAATTTTCCAATGGCTGTGAGCTGCCAGCATCATATCAGTGGAGAGAGGAGGGCCTCCCCTTTGAAGACTGCATTCCTAACTAGTGCATTTGCTAAGCAAAGCTAAGAATCTGCATTGGCCTTGGACACAGGAGTTGACCCAAGAAGAATACAAGTTACTGAAAAGCAGAAAGGGGGAAGTCTTCTAAAATGCCTGAGCTTTTCCAGTTTGTTCTTAGTCCCAACCTTCCTACTTCTGCTATATCCATTAATCCCCTTTCTCTAAAGGCAATCCAGGTGTGTCTTATTTATAGTCTCTGTTCTAATTGCCTTCTCCAGTGATATCTTCTTTGCTAAAATAAATTCCCATTGTTACTCCTACCTCCTTTCCCTTTGCCACTATGAGAATTTTCTTTGTCAGCTACCAATTCCATTCATAACTCTGAAAGCTGCTCACTACTGAATGAGCATACAAGTTCTAAAGCAAAGACCAGCCATTTTGTCCATTTCCCTCCTTCCTCAGCTGGCTCTAAAATGGGGCAGGCAAAATACAGCCTAAGGGCCAAATTCGGCCCACCAAGCTGCAGGATACAGCCTGCAACCCAATTGGAGCCTTGGGCAGGCTCCCTGCCTGCCCCGCCTTCTTACGCCACTGAGAGCAGCTGACTGTGGGGGCCATGTGCTTCTCTGAGCACTGCTGTAAGCCAAAGGGGGGGGGGAGAGGGAGAGGGCTTCATGTGCTGCTCCCTGTCTCTAGCACAATCTCACAGCTCCCATTGGCCAATCCCTGGGTTTTGTTTGCAGGCCAGGCAGTGCATGACATATCCCCCCTCCAACCCCTCACAGCTCATGATGCTCAGAAAAACATGGCTAGGGGGCACCAGATACCTTTCTCAGGGGCCCGGAGAGGCTATGGAGAGTCAACTCCCACTCTAAGAAGGAATAGGGGTGGAGCCAGGGCAGATAGCCCTGAGCGCCCACCAGAGCACACTGTGCCGCCCACCACCAGCCCTTCACACTGCCTGAAGCTCACACTGCAGTGCTCCCGCAGCGATTTAAAGGGCCTGGGCCTTCAGATACCACTGCACTAGAAGCAGCAAATGGGAGCCCCAGGTTCTTTGAATCGCTGGGCCCCAGGACAACTGCTCCCTTTCCTCTTCCTCTCCTGCTGTTGGTGGGCCTGCACATGGTGCCCAAACCTGCCACTCAGAATCACATGCAAAGGCATGGAAGGCAGGAAACCCGCCAGAGGGACTTGCTGGGCTCCTGGCCAGGATCCATTTAGGTAAGTGCCTCTCAGCCATACCTAGGGTTGCCAGATGTCCAGTTTGACCCAGACAGTCCGGTATTTTTCCCTCTTGTCCGGTAAAAAAACCCAGAAAATACCGGACACCTAAAATGTCCAGTATTTTCTGATTTTTTCCCCAGCCAGTAGGCGAAAATACCGGGTGCTTCAGCAGGGGAGCTGTCTGGCCCAGAGCAGGGAGACAAGATGGCCAATGGCCACATTCAGCTGTTAGAGCCAAAAAGCCTCAAAAGCATTTCTTAAAGGAGCCATGCTGTTTTTATTTATTGCTTAAATAACTCTCGGGTCTCCCCCCCCCCCCCAACTTTGGTCTCCCCCTTCCTCCCCCCTCTGTGTTTTTGGGGGGGGGGGGGGGGAGTCAGTATTTTTGGTTAAACCATCTGGCAACCCTAGCCACACCCTGCCTCTGGCAACCGAATCCCTCCCTCCTCTGAATCCTTTGCTCCTCTCCGACACTCCTATTGCACGTAACCCACACCCTCTGCACCCCCACTTCTGCACCCAATGCCCCCTTCCAGATCCTGCACCCCAACCCTGCTCCAAGTCACAATCCAAATCCATGCAACCCTGCCCTAGGTCACAACCCCCTCCCAAACTCAGTACCTCCACATGTCAGAATCTTTTTCTGCACCCTTACCCCTTCCCACATCCTGCACCTCAATCCTGCTTTAGATCACAATCCTCTCCTGCCCTACCTCACAACCCAAACCCCTATGCCTCTCCTAGACTTCTCCAGATCAGAATCCTCTCCTGCACACACACACAAAAAACACTGTACCTCCACCTGCACCCCTATCTCTTGTCCCAGGTCACAGCCCCTTCTCCTTCACCAAAACTCCCTCCCAGACCCCACATGTTCTCCTACACCCCAATCATCTGTCCAGAGCTCCCTTCTGCAACCAACCTCCAACCCAGACCCTGCACCTCCTCCATTAATATCATGTAAGAGTGCAGCCCTTGACCACTTACCAAATTCTTGGACTGGCTCCCCCATCAAAAATTATTGCCCACTGTGCTTTAAAGATACCAGGAAGTCTGGATTCGGGATGTAAAATCCCATTCAATTGGTTAACTGATTAAATGTAATGTTTAACCAGTTAAATTACAGAGGGGTAAGCACAGCTGGGCTAGAGATACCCCGCTGCTGCCAACCGGGGCTGCTCTGGCTGGACTGGAGTGCCCCTGCCTGCAGCAGGTCTAGCAGGGCTGGAGCAGCCTGCGGCTCCCAGCAAACAGGAAGCTGCTCCAGCCCCAACCAGTTAATGGGAACCCTTAAGTTCCAATTAACCAGTCACATCCCTAGTCTTGATAAGATCAAATCTGCTAGTTTATACCATGATATAAACCATCACATGCACTTATTCAAAGAAAGAAACAGTGAACAGTAATAACTGAGGAAAAAATGGTTTGGTTTAAATGCAGAGCAAATGGGCTGAGGCCCCATTACAAATATAAACCTCATTTGATAGAGCAGCTCCCTCCTTGGTGCTGGTAACAGAACTAAAAGATATGCATCAAATCTGCTAGTTTATACCATGATATAAACCATCACATGCACTTATTCAAAGAAAGAAACAGTGAACAGTAATAACTGAGGAAAAAATGGTTTGGTTTAAATGCAGAGCAAATGGGCTGAGGCCCCATTACAAATATAAACCTCATTTGATAGAGCAGCTCCCTCCTTGGTGCTGGTAACAGAACTAAAAGATATGCACGGAC